GAGCTAGCGACGGCAGGCTGGGGGAGGGGGTGTCGGCGCACCGCGGAGTGCTGCTCTCTGAGAGCCTGGCACCCGGAGCAGCCGCCCCCTCCCCCTGCCAAGACATCTGGAAGCCCCTTCTCTTTCGTCCTCTCGGGGCGGGGCGCGGAGAGTTGAGCCGCTCCAAGGCGGGCGGGGCGGAGCCCGGAGCCCCACCGAGCGCTGCGGAGCGAACCTCACCTTCCTTCCAGGGCTCAAGGTGTGTGTGTGCTTTTTCTAACGCAACCCCGACTACTGCCGACTTAACCTTGAGGGGAAATGGAGTGGGAACTAAGAGCTCCGCATCCCATCAGTTTATTTTGATTTTCTGATTCTGCTCTTCATTCTTTCCGTCCCTTCATCCAACCCCTGCAGCAGGGTAAGGAGATTCAGGACTCATCTCTTTTTACTGATGTGTCGATGTCGGTCGCGTAGTAAAATAACAGAAGAAAAGAGGAGCCTTTTTTTATGTGGCATCTGATGCAGTAAACCGCAAAAAAAGAAAGAAAAAAGGCTGGGAGTGGGTTTTTGGAACTGTACTGAATCCTTGTCCATTAAAAACTGTCTTTACCATTTACCTGCTTGGGACCACCTTAATCAGCGAAAACTATCTGAAAAGGAAGAAGGTGCTAGTGGAAAGAAGGAGAGCCCCCGTCAAATGGTGGATAAAGGAAACCCTGATAGTTGTTAGTGATTAACTCTGCTAAGTCTCTTCCCGAGTACATTTTCACCGGCTGCGTGTAGTGCTGAGCCCTGTGGGAGAATCCTAGCTAGAGGGAGCAAACTTACCTTGCCGTTACTGTAACTTAAAAGTCTTGTTTTTCCACCAATCTGTTTCTTATATACATAGGGTCTCAGAGGAATTAGTTTTGGCTGTCAAAAACCAAAACCAAATTTTAAAAAATATCCAGGTGAATTTTGTTTAATTCATTTATTTTTTTAAGCCCCCCCCCCCTTAATGAATTTCGGTGACTGTAGCATTACAATTTAAATTGTATTTTTCTCTTTTGAGTTCCTTTGCTTCTACAGCTTATGGGTCCCTTCTTTCTGTAGGATGCAGAGCTCATCTTCAGCCAAAATCAGGAACCTCTTTGTAGGTTTTTTTTGTGTGTTTTTTCAAACCAGACACAAAAGTTCTTAGTTTATTAATCCTCTCATGAAAAATCTGCACAATTGCCACAGATAAAGCAACTAAATAACCTTCACTCCTGTTATTCGATCTCTAGCTCACTTTTTGCCAGCACCAGCATTGGCCTTTGCAGTCCCCCTGACCTCCTTCATTCTGTTCTTGTGTTCCTTTCTCTGTTGTCTTGAGGTCGTCTTCTCATACAGGCCAAGTCTGTTTGGGTTCATTTTGCTTTGTGTAATCCAAGGACTCATAAATCATGCCAAAGCCAGTTGTCTTGCCACCACCAAAATGGGTTCTGAATCCAAACACAAAGATGACATCTGGTGTGGTCTTAAACATTTGGGCTAGTTTTTCCCAAATTTCTGTCTTGGGTACTGTTGCCTTCCCTGGGTGAAGGATGTCAATGACCATTTGTTTCCACTGAAGTAGTCTGTTGATCGTGAACCTGCTGAGGAAGGTTGATCTTCAAGCAGCCAGGGAGGAAAAGAGCTCTTTATAGGTGTGGGTGTTTTTTTAACTATATCTTTATTGATTTCAGAGAGGGGGGGAGAGAGAGAGAGACATCAATGATGAGAGAGTGTCATTGATTGACTGCCTCCTGCACATCCCTGACTGGGAATTGATCCCGAAACCCTGGCATGTGCCCTGACCAGGAATCGAACCGTGATTTCCTGGATCCTAGGTCAATGCTCAACCGCTGAGCCATGCCTGGCCGGGCAATAGGTTTTTCATAGAGAGTAAAGTTATCAGTTGATGATAGAAAACTCCAAATTTATGATAGAAACAAAGGTTGTGTGTTTTTGTGTGGCACCACATGTCTGTGTTGAGTGGCAATTTCATGGTAAACTTGTTTTAACTGGACATTTTTCACCAATTAGCTAGAGTGCCCAAAGGGATAAATATCAATTTTTTGGCAGCACTTTAGTAAAAATAATTTTTTTTGAAGCTCTAATTGGCTTTATTAAGAAATTCATGAATTGGGCAGCATCCCATCTAGCAACTAGAAATACATTCTTGGGAAAATATTAATTGAAGTGATTGAGAGTTCATTCTTAAAATCTAGGTTCAGTTTTCAGAGATTTTTCTAACTGGAGTTCAGTCAGTGTTGACAGAATTGATATGCTGCAGCTATTTTACAGTTTTAGCTGGATTACTGTTTTTTCTTTGCATTGCTTTATTGGATCTCTAGCCAGTAGAGAGCAGCTTAAGGTGAAAGCAAGTATTTAAATAATAGGGATGATGAGGTAGGAAACCACCTCAGTTGTGGAAACTTATTAGGGATCAGAAAACTTACTATATTTTTTTTTTTTTAATATGTCTTTATTGATTTCAGAGAGAGGAAGGGAGAGGGGGAGAGATGGAAACATCAATGATGAGAGAGTCATTGATTGGCTGCCTCCTGCACACACCCCACTGGGGATTGAGCCCACAACCCGGGCATGTGCCCTCACTGGGAATCGAACCATGATCTCCTGCATCATAGATCAATGCCCAACTGCTGAGCCACACCGGCTGGGGTACTATACTTTTTTTGACCTCAAGTAAACTTAGTATAGAATTGTGCAAAAAAGTTGATTTACAGTAAACCTTTAGATTTGGGATTTTTAGTTTATTAGCCATTTATCCCTTCAAACTCCATGAATAATGTTTAAATTGAAAGGCAAAGACTTACCTAAGTTACTAAGAATGAACCATTAAAAATCACTGATTGAAGCTTTGACAGCTAGCCTGGTACAAAATGAAATGCAATTTGGCTAAGCTATAGCAAGCTGAGGAAGTGACAAAAAATCATTTGGTGGCCATATTAAAGCATATACCACCTGTTCATCTTCTACCAGAAAACAGGTTGCCATCCTATCTGATATCTAGCCTAGGTGGTTTTTTCTTTGTCTACCCATAGGTGAGCAGTTAATACAGCTTTATAAAGTTATATTGCATTTTGCTCACTTAATTTTTTTAGAAATTTATTTACTGATTTTAGAGAGAGAGGAAGGGGAGGTAGAGATAGACATGGATTTGTTGTTTAACTTTTTTATGCATTCACTGGATGATTCTTGTATGTGCCCTGACTGGGGATCGAACTGGAAATCTTGGTGTGCCAGGATGACCCTCTAACCAACTGAACTTACATGGCCAGGGTCACTCATTTAATTATTTAATATTTTTGTTTTCTTTACTGATTTTTGTAATCAATATTTTACATGGTGCAGTGATTTCCCCAAAGGTTTTTTCCCCAGGAGACAAAAGGCTATGTATAGAACTAACAGGTGTATCTGCACTGATCTCCAAATACCATTTAAGGGAGATGAAAACCTTCAGATTTGGTTCTCTGCAAAGGAAACATACCAAGCTATGACTTCTCTTACCTCGTAGGTTAAGGTGACATGGTGCTGCTGAGGGTAAAGTAGCTGCTTTAATTTTCTTTAGCAGTCTGTTTTTATCCATCCTGCTTATTTTTGTGAGTCACAGCTTAGAATGTGTTAAGAAAAGGGGCCCTATGTTTTCTCTAAAGGGAGACTCAAGCTCAATCCTCCATCCACATCAGACATATAAAATGATCCCCTTGAGAAGGTGAAGGAAAGATTGGGCCCTTGGCATTGTTTGATTCTCATAATAATTAGCTTGAGTGTTGTAAGGTTTGGAATTGGATAAAGCTCGCTCAAGGTGAGAAAATATTACAGGCAAAAAGACCTGGGAATGCTGCTGTATAAGAGACTTATTTAGAGATAATGAATGCATTCATGTGAAGATGCGCTTGTTTCAGCTTTGTCAGTTAGGTGTCTGAGACAATATTTTGTGTGTGTTTAAACACAACCCTTTCTCTTGGCAGCTGAATCTTTTGAGGAAGTTGTTTGCTGTGAGTCTGAATCCAGAGGGTAGAGGACTTGGTCAAGTCTGTTATCTGTTTACCACCTAGATAAGGATGTGGAATTGGTTGTTGGTGAATTACTGAACTCTTCCTAATGAATGGTTGCTAGGCAAAGTGCATCTTAGTTTAATCCTCAGTAGTTTACAGGTCTGCTCTTGTTGAGGGCCAGAACTGCCTTTCTAATGATACTGCCCTTTAAGAATCCTTTTGGATGTGCATATATGTTGCTCAGTGGCTAAAAAAAAAAAAAAGACTTGAACAACTAGGGAGGTCATTTCATTCATCTACTTACCTTTTGGTAACCTGGATCAGCAGTGTCATTAACGTCTCTCCTGGATCAAGTGGTGGTGGATGGGGATTGCTTTCCAATATTAAGATATTACTGTGTTTGATTATCTTTGGTTTTGTAACTAGTAAGGCAGTGAACTAACCCATTCATTGTTAGTTGGAAACAGACCAGTGATAACGCTGCTTTTGGGCCTGGATGGATGGAAAAATAGCACAGAGTAAATAATTGAGGGCATAAATAATGAATCTTCCAACTGAGCCCTGGGAGAGTGAAGGTGATTATCCTTAGAGCTGTTCAATCTGGCAGTGAAAGGGAAAAAGTCCACTGAATTAATTACCCTAACTGTGTTTGATACTGCACTTATTATAGATTGTTAGAGACATTCAAAACACAGTTGCCTTTTAGATATAAACTTTTAACCCATCTTTTTGTTCGTTTTGGTTTTTAAAACCAAACACTTAAATTGCTCATTTACTTTTAGAATCCAGGCCTTTGCTCTCTCCCTCAACTTTGTTCTATATGTTAGCATTCTATGAATACTGGTCAGTCCTTATATTTGGCCAGATCTTAGAATTTGATTAGATATTTCACTATCTGTAAATATATATGATAATAGAAGAAAAAAAGAAAGCCTGAATCTGGTTTAAAGGAATTCTTTGCTACCTTTAGTACATAATATACTTTGAAATTAAATGTGAGGTTATGGAGTATAATTATATAACAACTCAAAAAAGGTTAAGACAAGAATTTCTTCAGCCCAAGAGTCATTTCCAGTGTTAACATAAATATTTTTACTTTTGGATTAGTTTTCATCCAATGAATTAGATAAGCAGTCTCTTAGTGGTCTCAGCTTTTCTCTGAGGTAGGCAAAACTAATGCCCTGAGAATGTCTAAATAACTTAGGCAATGATTTGGTAGTGAAGCCACTTTACAAGAGCCAAAGTCTCTGAATTCTTCCCTTCTCTGAATTTCTAATACATTTCATTTTTTTCCTCTAAGAACTCATTTCAGGATCCTTATTTGAAATGATTTGAAATTTCTTTCTCTCTACCCTGACAAGCTGTTTTTATTTTTCTAGTGGTGAAGGGAATC